TTTTTTTTTTTTTTTTGGTGGAACCAGGGATTGAACTCAGGCCCTTGCGCTTGCCAGGGAAGCGCTTTATTCCACTGGGCCATCTCCCTGGCCCCTTTTCATTTTCATTCAAATGGTTTTGCCAACTTGTTATTTATTTGTTTATTTATTTTTCTTGTGAAACCACGGATTGAACTCAGGGCCTTGTTCTTGCCAGGCAAGCGCTTATTCTGCTGAGCTATCACCCTGGCCCCAGTGTTGCCAGCTTGTGATGGGTTTTTAATTTCCTGTAAAGCTCTTTGAATCTGCTTCATACATTCTATTTCTTTCTTTTTTTTGTATTTTAGGGAATGGTCTACAGTGTGTTCAGGGTCTCACTACTAGATCAAACTCGTAGTGATCCACCTGTTTTCAGCCTCCTAAGAGCTGGGATTACAGGCTCAGGCTACCACGCCCAGTCTTCATTGCCATCTCAGCATGCCCCAGGAGCAGGGCCAGCAAAGCAGGCCCAGGGAATGAACCCCTGGCCCCTGTGTCCGCTTTAATCTGTTGAGCTCTTTGTCCGGCCCTCTATTTCTTTCTTATATTGCTCATTCAAAGTTTCCATTGTTTTTCTATTCTCCTCTATTTTTCTTTATCAGTGTCTTCTTTAGAAACGCTTAGTAATTCTTTCATTATAGTTATCTTTTTTTTTTTAACCTGGGAGATTATTTCTGATCTGATTTCCTCTATACTCTTCTGCAGTTGTTTTTTTGCTTCAGTTACTATTTCAGAGATTTCAGGTGCATGGCTTCCAATTTCTTCTATGCTGATGTCTCCTGAGTTTGTTCTGGGTGGGCTCAGGGCCTGAGAATGCATTTTGCTCCTTCTTTTTTGTCCTTTTCTATTTCAGAGAAGACTCTTATTTTGATTCCTGCATTACCTTTTTGGGAAAGTTTGATAGTAGGTAGCTAAATCACTGCAATCAGAGCCTCTCTGTAAAGAGACTGTTCTTTAGGTATCTTTCATGTGTCAGAGCTTCTTGTTGGTGTGTGTCCCAAGATTTTGCCTTCTCTATTGATTGAGAGTGAGATATTGGTTTCTGTTTGACACAATCCTCTGTCATTTGGTATAGGGCTTTGGTGAGGATATTACCCAGGCACCTCCCAAGGGAGAACATGTGGTTAGGGCAGGTATGGTTTCCTATTTCAGCAGTACAATTAGCAGTACTAATAACAGGTACTGAAATTTAGAAATTGACCAACTTTTGTAACTAACTCACTTATACGTTAGACCATAGAGGCAAATATGATAGCTGAATAACAAAGCAGTCCTTAAATTGGGAATTTGTATTTAAGTTAGTTCCCCTGAGTTCCATCTGGGTGCCTCCCTTTTATGTACCTGGAGTCTTCCAGGCAGACTAGCTCATCCCATTTACCTGCTGCCACCTCTGTGCCGTGAGGATACTCCCATAGGTCTGGGCCCCATGGGGCCTAGCAGTACATCTCAACTCACCAGGTCTTGATCAACTGAACTCGAACTCGACTGACCAGGCCTGGCTTGTGTCTAGCAGCTGTGCTCGGCTCCTTCCTGCTGCACCCTGTCGAAGTGGACTCACTGGGCTCCACTGGCTGCTGGGTTCAGCTGCTCTTTTCAGGTCATAAAGTTCTTACACAGGTTGGCTCCTTGCCTCCTACCTTGTAAACTATTGCGTGGCTTCCAGGTCTCATGGAGTCCTTCCTATGCAGTACACAGCCAGTAAGAGTCACAGCAGGTGGTCTAACAACCTGGGGAACTCAGCTAGGTACTCCGGACTTGCACTTCAGCACCATGACACCAGAAGAACACTCCTACCTTAGGATTTTGAATAGTGGGATGACTTATTAAATTTTCTAGGAATCTTCATAGCTCTTTATCATATTTATATTTAGACTTTACTAGTTTTCTTTCTTTCTTTTTTACAAATTATATGCTTGTGTTTACTCAGTTAATTTTGGAAATGGTAAATGTAGAAAATGCCCCCTTGATTTTTTTTCCTTCATTTCTCTAAAAGACAGAGGCAGGATCCACATGGAGGTTCTCTGTAGGAATGTGGAAGGTAGAAATATGCTGACTACATTATAAAGGGTCAAGTTGGTGGAAAGTAATCATTGGGGTTTGGATTATAGTGGTAACTTGGTCCACAAACAGTTTTGCTTGCAAACAATTTGGTTTGCAAACAGAAATGTGAGGCAAAATTTTGTGTTTTTTTCAAACTGCATCACGTGACAAACGGGACTGAGACCATCTTTCCCGCACACAAAGAAAGTGGCCATTCTTTTCCAAAGTTGTAGAATAAATTAAATTTGCAAACCAAGGTACTTCTGTATTTTAGAATACAAACACTAAATAGTTTTGGCATAAAGAGTATAGATTTTGAAGTCAGTCTAGTAAGGTCTGCAGTTCAGTTGTGTCATTCACTGACTCACTGGGCACGGTCCACACCTCTTTTCTGTAAAAGTGCATCAAAACTGGTCTTACTGGGGCCGGGGAGATAGCTCAGTGGAATAAGCACTTCCCTGGCAAGTGCAAGGGCCTGAGTTCAATCCCCGGTTCTGCAAAAAAAAAAAAAAAAAAAAAAAAAAAACAAAAAACAGAACTGGTCTTACCCAAGAGTACTGTGCAGCTGAAATTGCGACATAGTACTGCCAAGAAATTAACATAGTACTTGGTGTTAGCAAAAGCTAGCTGGAATCAGCAGTAAGCTATCATTGTCCTTACTCAGGTTTGAATATGACCTCTGCCTCTTACCAAGCATGTCTGCCTGAGAAAGTTGTACAAGGAATAAATGAATGTGTTATGTAATGTTGCCCAGTAAATGCAAGTGCTGTTTGGTTTGCATTTTAAACAACCAGTCATTATTTTGATGTTCTTTCTGTGAGTCACTATTATTTTATTTGCTTACTACCATGTGGATGGAGAAATAAGTTCGGTAGTAGAACTGAGTATTCAAATGTAGATCTCCTATTCTCAGATTCTTTTTTTGGTCTGTGATATAATTTCTTTAGTAACTTGTAGGGACTTTACTTACCTCAAAAATTTGTATAATATCTTGCCCTCTAGATTGGTTGCTTCCAGATGTGAGTTATCAAGTGGAATCCAGTGAGAGGAATCAATCTCAGAATATGGATCTTCAGGGACAAACTCTACTTCTTTTCCTTTTTGTGGATTTCTATAGTGGATTTCCAGTCCAGCAAATGGAGATTTGGGGTAAGCAGAGGGTTGCCCCCTTGGGGCAGTGTGCCAAATACTCAGGGGTTAGAGAGGGAGCTAAGTACACAGGGTACATATCTCAAATAGACACATTTATTTTGAATGAAGAATTTCATTGAAGAAAACCTTGCCTCAGTTAAGTTATATTTTCTATAGAAACAATATCCCCAGAGAAAAGTGATATGTCACTTAAATGATGATATTCTCAGATTTGATTGGCCAGAAGTCAACAGGCACTTCCTATAAGGAATATGTTACTTGAATCAATATCCCTCAACCTTACTTGTATAGTACATTACTTGGGGGAGAGAGGCTTCTAAAAATGCTAAAACCTGACCCTCAGAGATGGAGCTTAGATCTCAGTACTTGTATATTTTTGGTGCTGGGGCTAGAACCCAGTGCCTTGCACATGCTAAATATGTGTGTATGTTTTGCTATTTACTTTACCCCCTTGATATGTTTTTAGTTTCCCAGGTGATGCCAAGCATGGTAGAACACACCCACAATCTCAGTGCACTGGCAGGCTTAGGCAGGAGGATGGATGGAAAGTTTTAGTCTAGCATGGGCAACTTAGTAAGAACTTAGCTTGAAGAAGGAGGAGGAGGAAGAAAAGAAAGATGAGGAGGAAGAAGAAGAAGAGGAGAGGAGAAGGAGAGGAGGAGGGGAGGAGGACAGAGTAAGAAGAGAAGCGGGGGAGGAAGAAGAGAGGGGGAAGAGGAAGAAAAGGATGAAGAGGAAGAAGGAGGAGGAGAAGAAGGAGGCTGGGGCAAAGGACAAAGGCTTGGGTTCAGTCTCCACTAATATTAAATAAACACATATATACATACATACATAATCTTTGTAGGAAATTATGATTTTGATGTGGACTTGGGAAATTTTTTTCCATACTGTACTATCTTTCTTTCTTTCTTTTTTAAAAGATAACTATTTCTTTTTTTTCCCCCATAATTTTATTGATAAACAAATAGCAATGAGACAGTTTCAAATCAAATTGGTAGGACAGTTTCAATAATTAACACATGGCATACTTTCTTCCTAGTGGTTAATTGCTGTATAAGATGTGGACATGATATCCTAACACCATTAGAACAAATCACTCTGTTCATTAAGAGAATGTAACTATATATCTATCCTAACCACTTTGAATACACAGATACAAAATGGACATTCATCTGTATACCCTTTTTTGGTTAAGTTCCATTATTTGAATGTTATAGGTGTGTACACTCAGAAAAATAATCTAAGAGTCCAGTAGCCCATAATAGTATTGGGTCTTCCGCTTGACTGGCAATGTCAGAAATTGTTGACCTGAGTCCCCTACAGCTCAACATAACACCATGGCTTTACTTCTTATATTTCGTTTTTATACTTTTCTGCTGGATGATTAAGACCAAGGTAAAGCAGGACCTATGCAACAAGAGTTGTAGCTTTTGCGTCTGATAAGGTCAGTCAAATCCCCTCAGGATTTATCCTGAGATCCTCAGTTTGTAGATCCTTTGTCAGTGTCAGCCATGTGGATGAGTCATGGCCATTGCTTGGCCAGTGTGCTCTCTGTGAAAGCTTGAGAGAATGTTTTCTCTCCATGTGACTCTCCTTAGGCACACTCTACATCATCGATCACTTTCCTCTTTGGGCCCCATAATCTCCTTGATCAGAAAATTTGGGACACTACTGAGTTATATGACGTTACAGTACAAGTTCTCATATGTCCTGAGTCTTAATTGACCTTAGAAGGCTAGGGCCAAAATGTATCTTTCTAGATATGAAGAAGTGTATCCTGATGCTGGCATGGTGGTGCATTCCTATAATCCCAGCTGCTTGGGAGGCTGAAGCAGGAGGATTATAAAATCAAGAGCCTAAACTAGAGATATAATTCAGAGTTCAATTCCCAGTGCTGCAGAGAAAAAAAAAATAAAAGGAAAAGAAGGAAAAATAAATGTAGCCTGACTTTGTACAGGTCTACAAATAGGCGAATGTTGGCATTCATCTCTTAGATAAGTGGTAACCTGTTATCAGAAAGATTCTCTGTTTGAGGGAAAGCAGTAGTTTCAGTTTGTAGTTCATAAAACACTTGCATCACAGTCACTAGATTACTTGGAAATGGGCCAACATTAATTCATTATTTTGCTGTAATGTGAAGAATCTGATATGGCTTAAGAATCCACATTTTTAACAAGATTATCAAGTTAAAGGGCCAGGGAGATAGCTCAGTGGTCTGAGAGCCTGCCTGGCAATCACATGGAGCTGGGGTTCAATCCCCAGTACTGCATGTGTGCCAGCCCTGCCCTGGGCCCACTGAGCCAACCACTGAACCAGGCATGGCACAGTCCTGTAATCCCAGTGCTAGGGAGGCTGAAACAGGAGGATCACTACTGGTCTGAGCTGCATAGCAAGACCCTGCATCAAATACATAAATATTGAAAAAGATTATCAAGTGATTTTTAAATACAGCACAATTTGGAAACTGCTAAATGTGAGTCAAAGTTGGCTTAAGTATTTTCTTTTAATTTTCTTTTTGTGGTACCAGGGACTGAACCCAGTGCCTTCACACTGAGCTTTATCCTCAGCCATCTTACAAAATTTTTAAGACAGGATCTAAGTTGCTGAGTTGTTTAGGCTGAGCTCAAGTTTGTAATCCTTCTGTCTCAATCTGTCAGACTGCTGGCATTACAGATATGCACTAGCCATGCCTGGCTAGTTTATACATTTTAATCCAGTTAGCCCTGGGACAAATTTTTTTTTCACTTATGTATTTGGCACAGGGTCTCACTATGCACGTTGGACTTGTAGTAATCCTCTTGTTTTCAGCCTTCCCAGTGCTGGGATTACAGGCGTGTACCACCATGCCCAGACTCGGTTGCTGGCTCAGTATGCTCCAGGGGGACCTGGGACAAAATTTTAAGAGGTTCATGGTATTCTTCTAAATGTTGGGCAGAGTTATAGACAAAGTAGAGTTCATGTATGTTTGGGGGAAAGTTCATAAGCCTCCCTTTTGGTGTTCCTTTCTCTGTGCACCAGCGTGTTTTTATGGTATGCTGACCTCCAGGGTATGGTGCTACTCCCACTTCCTCATAAGATGAACAAGACAGCTTATAGCCCAGGATCAGAAGTACTCACATTGACTGATGCCTATTGTTTGTTACTGTCATTTGTGGGATTTTTTGTTGTCTTCCAAGCCTGCCACCTTTTCCCCAATCCATGCACACTCTGAGAGAGAAGCACAGCTTTCCTGGATACCAGTTTAAAACACTCTTTGGAGAGCTGGTGTTCTTTGGTGCCCCTGTTCTATTGACTAAGGCCAGGGAAATAAGAAATAGAAGAAACTCAGACTGAAGATACTCTAACAAGTAGTGCTCAACTAAGGATGCCTGGGCCTATTAGCTGGCCTAATCACATAAAAACAAAGGTCCAGGTTTTTTTGGTTTTTTTTAAGAGGTTGATAGAAGCAGTTTAGTATTGTGGAGAAAACCTAAAGGAAGAATCAAGAGAACTGGATTTAATTTTAACTCAGATACTAACTTCCTCAAAAATATTTGGAAAGAATGTCACATAAATCATCTGAGCCTCCCTTTTCATATCTTTAACATGAGCTTGTTAGATAGGTGATATCAATGGCCCTTTCCAATGCTAAAGATTCTCCTGAGACTTAAGATCTGTTACTTTCTGGCATTTAAGCAAAAGTGTTTAGGATAACCTTAGGACAATTCAATTCTGATACTGTGTTCTGAGGCCTACTGAACATACCTTAAGAATTGAGATTTCTCAGAAACTGTATTACTTATATAATTCTTATAGCATTTTGATAATTTCCACACCTGTGTTTAGCTTGCCTCAGCCTTTAGTTTCTCAGTAGTTTTACTCAGTAGGACAAAAAAGAAATTTATCACTGCTTTAGTAGACATAGCAAATATGTTTTAAACTCTCATATCTGGTAGTTTAGAACTAGCCTTGGAAATAGATACACAGTGAGGGGAGGTAGATAGAGCTACAGTAATTTTACTTGCCCCTTCTTTTTTTATGGAAGCTTTCTCCAGAGCTCCTTCTTTTAGGAACAGATTGTGCAGAACTACAGTCTGTTTCTGTGTCTTTTTAAAAAATCACTTAATTGGCCTTATGCCCACCTTGTCATGGTAACTTTCTATGATTAACTCACTTTTTTTTTTTTTTTTTTTTTTTTTTTTTTTTTTTTTTGCTACAGTGTCATAAGCATCTGGTGATACCAGCTATTTTAGGAGTGAACTTTGACTTTTTAATTAAATGTCTGCTTTCAAAAGGGGTTTGATTTTTTTGAGGCTCTTTTTAGGATCAAGCTATAAAAATAGTAATCTATGTACTATATTATCATAGTAATAGCAGTATTTCCCATCTGAATATAGCATGCACATTTCAAAACATTTATGTTATCCCAATTTGTTTATACAGTATAACTGAGAGAGGCAACTTCTGTATTGAGAAAAGTGAAATGATCTGGTTACCACTCATTAGCAGTAAAATTGACCCTAAATTTATGTTCTTCCACCTCTAGTTTCAGACTCTCTTTTAACTCCACACATAACTTCCTCTTCATCATGGTGCCTGCGGTAGGAAATGTTCTTTCTGGCTTGCATTTTTAATGCAGTCCTAAGAAAAGCCTGCCAGCCAGTCTCAGACTGCTTTACCATGGTATCTTTGAGCAGTCTAAGTAGGGGAGAATAGACAGAAAAATTAATTTAGAAGCATTTTCTTGCCAGGTGTGGTTTTGTTGCACTTCTATAGTCAGCACTTTGGGAGGTGAGGCAGGGGGTTGCAGATTTGAGCTCAGCCTGGGAAAATTAGCAGTTTGGTGAAACCCTGTCTCAAAAATAGGGTTGGGGATGTAGTTCAGTGGTAAGAACCTGGATTCAATCCTGAGTACTCTACTGGAGGGGGAAAAAAGGCCTTTTCTCCAGTTCTCCTATATAGCAAGTTTATCTTCCTATTACAGCAGGATCAGTAGTTGTGAGCCTATTTGATGACTTCATTTATTTTGAGACAGGGTCTTGCTACTAGTTCAGGCTGGCCTTGCACTGGTGGCAGTCCTCCTGCCTCAGCCCCTGCATGTGCTATCACACTTGGCCTAGATGACATGTTTTTGCCCATTGTTCTTACATATTAGCTTTTATAAGTGAGGGTCAGCAGGGGTGTTCAGATCATTTACCCATTTAATAGACTTTTGTAAGTTTTAGCCTTTTTTGAAAAACCATAGCACATTTATATTTGATCTTAGCCAAAAGGCCAAGAAGCAATCCCCATAGCATATCTAATAAAAAGGACACACTCGTAATGGTGACTTGCTCAGTAGTGATTCTCAAACAGGAAAAAAAGGCAAGTTAGACACTCTCCAGGAGGTATATTATTGTTTATATCATGAATTAAGTAGGATCACTTTTTCATTTCTTCAAAAATAATGCAATTCTTCACTTTAATTTTTCTGGCTTTTATTTGCAAATGGGAATTGGGTGGGTTTGTAAGTTGCTGGAAGGGCAATTGTCTGAAAAAATAATTATCAGTAGATAGAATTGGCTTCTTCTAAAAGGCATCTTCTCTTATTCCATCCGAGACTTAGAGCACATGATCAGCATTTTTGAAGTAGTCATTGTCACTCAAGTTTATCAACATTCTTTGTCCTCTTAGGAGTCCATACTTTGCTCACAGCTCATCTCAGTGCCATCCTCATGGAGAGCCACAGTGTGGTACAAGATACCATTCACTCCACTCTAGACAAGATCTTGGAGCAGAATGACCAGGCTACCAAGGTAATAAGAAATTCACAACCTTTTTTTTCTTTTTTCTTTCTTTTTTCTTTCTTTTTTTTTTTTTGAGACAGGGTTTCTACATATTTCAGCCAGGCCTTAAACTCACTATGTAGCCCCAGGCTGGCCTCTAATTTATAGCAGTTATCCTGCCTCAGCCTCCAGAGTGCTGGGATTACTGGCAAGTACCACTACTCCCAGCCTTTTCTCTTATTTTCTAAGAAAAAGAGAGAGCATAGTTACTGGGCCTCACAACCTTGTCTTACCTCAGAGCCCCATTCTGTTTCTTCTGCTACCTGGGGTGATTTAATACTACATGCAATCTAGAAACTCAGACTTTCACTTAGGTGGGTCACTGTAATCGGTTTATTCTTACCTGGGTGAGTTTGAGAAAACAGGGTCAGAAATTATATAGGAAAATGACTGATGCAGTGTCTTTATTTGTACATCACCCCATCTCACATGTTCTCTGGAGCTGATGTTTCACTAAACCTTACACTCTTCCCGCATCTTTTTTATTATTATTATTATTATTTTGGTACCGGGGATAAACTCAGGATCTTGTACTTACCACACAGGCACACATTTATGTTGCTGAGCTATCTCCCCTGTCCTATCTTCCTTTTTTTTTTTTTTTTTTGCGGTACCAGGGATTGAACTCAGGACCTTGCACTTGCCAGGCAAGTGCTTATTCTACTGAGTTATCCCCCCTGGCCCATGTCCTATCTTCCTAATTCTTTATAACACCATATTTTCTTCTTTTGAGGTAGGGTCTTACTATGTAGCTCAGGTTGGCCTGAACTCATCATGTAACCCAACCTGGCCTTTCAACTTTCAGTGATCCTTTTGCCTCAGCCTCCTTACTAGGAGGGATCACTGGGCTTACTGGGATTACTGGGATTGTGCCACCACACTCAGTTTATAATACCACAGTTTTTTCTTACCTGATTTTGTGAATTTCTCCATCCTGTGTATATTTGTCTTATTTTTTGCAATGTCCCGGATCAAATACAGATGTGCTCTACCACTAGACTATATCCCCAGCCCTTTTTGTCTTTGTTTTGATACAGGGTCTTGCTTGGTATATAGCCTGAGCTAGGCTCAGATTTGCAATCTTCCTGCCTCAGCTTCCCTCAGTGCTAATATTATAGGTATGTACCAGTTGATCCTGTTTATTCTGTGTACTTTTTCCCCTTCATTTTTATGTATTTGGTACAGTATCTCACTATGCAGCTCAGACTTGTAGTGATCCTCCTGTTTTTCAGTCTCCCCAGCTGTGGGATTACAGGTGTGCGCCACCATGCCTGGACTCAATTGCAGGCTCAAGGTGCCCTGGGGGCGGGGCCAGCATGGCAAACGGAATCAAACCCTGGTCCCTGTACTTTTTTTTTTTTTTTTTTTTGGAACCAGGGATTGAACTCAGGCCCTTGCACTTGCCAGGGATGTGCTTATTTCACTGAGCCATCTCCCCGGCTCTGATCCCTGTGCTTGCCAAA